TTCAATTGAGCAGAATCTCTTCTTTCTAACGGTGAAAAAACTGCGCGAAAATTCTCACTCTACTCCCTGACTGACATCGCAAAGGTCCCTTTTCTTCTGACCTATTAGAGGGATTCCAATTGCGATGTGTGCTTACGTAGTGCAGATGATCCATCCAGGATGAATCTGCTATTGAAGACAATCGAATTAGCCAAATTAATTGTTTCATATTTATATTTGAAGTTCTTTTCGAATAATCAATAAAACCATAATAATTGAGCCAATGTCGAAGTTCAATCTTCTTTCGCTTCATCAGTGAACGAGAAAAACGCTGTGCACACGATCTTTTTTCGAAGGTTGCCCATCCAGTCGAAAGTATTCGAAACGAAACGAAATCAATGACCGAATAAGTTTTGTTGAACATGCTCGAAGGGTGTTTCGTTATCAGCAGTTGAGCAGTGTTGTTCACTTCAGCACGGCTGTGCATGACCGATTTGATCTTCGAATGCAACGGTATTCTTTTGTCGATTATGATGATGATGCAATTTCGCGTCTGGCTTCGTCCACCATGCAGGTTCAGCTTCACCAGTAAACGTGAAAAACGCTGTGCACACGATCACCGCTCCACAAATTGAAAACAATATGATTGCCCTGGAATCTTGCAATCAATCATGACAGTGCGATTAGTCGAGGGAATGATTACATTTAACAGTGCGATTAGTCCACATTCAACAAAAGAATCAAAAGAAATTATTACGGTTACGATGAATATGATAGTATTTGTTATTTGATCGATTTTAAGATAATGCACTAAGGAAAGCTGAAGACGAAGACTGAGTAGCACACCATTGCTGCGGAGTGTTATCGGGTGCAATTCCGTTGACGAATGGTGGTAATACAATGATACCAACGCTGTTGATGAATTGCGTGACCAAAAAGACGAAATGTGAGTGTTGCATTGAAACCTAAACAAGAAGTCTTTCAGTTTATTCTGGCCGTAAGCCTCTGATTCTTCATCTTCCTTCCCAAAAATATTCAGCCCTTTGCTGAACAATAACTCAATGACAATAGCCTATTGATGCCATAAAATTCTGTCGATGACGTTTAAATGAGTCTTTCTTTCAATCATCCCTTCGGGAACATAATGATTTAATGCCGGATTTCCAAAAATTTTGACAATTATGGTATTGATTTTCACAAAAAAAAAACTCACCATAGCACCACTTTTCACAGGTCCAACCCACATAAGACCACTGAATGCAACTGCAGCTGTGTATGCAACCTGAGCAAGTCCCACTAAACTTGGTGGCACTAACGCCAGCACAACGAAAGACAATGCCATTGTTCCTGAAAGTGTGACTGGCTGTCAATATTTCTCGTTTCATGTAGACACAATTTTAACCATTCAACTCATAGAAGTGAATATGTTTCGTTCAGAGAGACGCCTTTTATTGCTGAGTATGAGAAAATCGTCCTAGTTGCTGATAGTGATTCGAGTATTACAGCAAGATGAGCTTGTGAATAACGAACCTTGTGAAAGGAGTGTGAATAATCTCACTCGATTCTTCGCCGACACACATGTTGCCAGATCACTGATTGGTCCTCCGAGAACCTTGACAATAACGGCGACAATATTCGCAAACGCGGTCATGAAGCCAGTGTTCTCAATTTTGAAGTGCAACACCTGCAGTTTTTAGGAAGCGAGTTCACTCAACTGCTCTTCAACAGAATCAAGAACTCCGTTCACGATTAATTCTTTTTTTTGAACTCCGATCCGAAATTATTCATAAAGATGGAGAAGGTACAGCTAGAATCAGATTCAATTCAATACCTTATTCAGATAAATTGGACCATACTGCACGAATATTTGATAGCCAAAAGTGGCACCCGTGCAGCAAATCCACACACCCCAAATGGGCAGACTCTTCAGAATTGCCTTATACGGAACTGGTTCCAACTTCTTTTCACGAATGCCCGTTTTATCTTCTTCGATCCATTCCAATTCCTTGGCGCTTACGAATCTGCATTTGCGATGATTAGTCTCGTACTGGTACATGAATGATTACATAATACATCGAAGAGCACTGACATTAAAATTTCACATCGGTCACCAACAAATGATATTCAACAAATAACATATTCACAAACAGAGTTATGTAATGTATTTGTATGCTGCATAATTCATTCAATTATTTTTCATGTTTTAAAAAATTCATTACTCAGAATCGTCAATATTGATCTCCAATTATCATTATATTGATCAAGTATTTACCTGTGGATTCTTGGAGAATCACGGAAGAACAAATAGAAAATGGCGTATGAGATAATGGTCAGACCACCAAGCGTATAATATGCACCTCGCCATCCAACCGGTGAAACACAGAAAGCACCAGATACTGGTAATGCGATTATGCAACCAAACTGTAACCAAGAATCAAGTCCAAACTGTAGTATCAAATTATGGTTCCCTCTTTCGTTCCTACGTTTCTCATCAGATACTTCACTCGTTTCACATATTACGCAGGTCATTTTCTCAACTTCAAATGGAAAAGTGGATATGTGGGAAGGAGGTGCTGCAATGAGATGACGGGTATTCTTTGGAGATGATTGTTCACCTGTAGATTACAGGACATCCACGCTGTGTACATTCCACTTCCTTTTATCGTCGACCAGTTCGAGACAATCGCACCGAGCATTGGGTATGAGGCGGCCATAGCAAATCCCTGCAGAGAAATATTGAAACTCAGTTTCACCAAAATGTCTGAACTACGTTTTAGTACTTCCACGAATTACATTCAACAGTTCATAGATCATCTGCCTTAACCTTCCTTTTATACAGTGGTTCTCATGGCGGGTGAAATTACTCATTTTGGGTAATTTGCAGGTGTCAAGGGGTAGTGAAGAGGGTCGGGAAATCAGTATTTTGTACAGTTCTTGTGTTCCGATAGAACACCATTGTGATGGTGTTTTTTAACTCGACTAACAGGGTCTTCATTCGTTTTAACAGGGTTTTCATTCTTTTCCTTGCTGTTATAATCACTCTCATAGCTTTCATCACCAAAAGTGTTCTCTTCTGCTAATTTCTCATTCATTTCACTCAACAGTTGCAGTCAAATTCTCATTCTATCAAATGCACTCTATAATTGATCGGTTGACTGTCGAACGATGTTGAGCAATAGTATTCGATTGCTGTATTGTTGATTTCGGCTGTCAACACTCGTCAACGCAACCAGTAAACAGTATATGCTACAGAATGAGAAATTGATTCGAACTGTGGA